CCAGCGACCAGAAACCCACACCCTGGGGAATGGAAACCCACGAAAGGAAGAGTGTGGAGCCTCAGGAAAGGGATCCAGAAATAACTTCAGCAGACAGGCAGAGGGACGGACAGACAGATGGACAGGTCACTGGCGCTCATCTGCAGAGCACACACAAAGGTGCACAGAGCCCCAGAGTGGACTAGAAAAGGGCAGGAGAGACTGTGGGGGGCAGCGAAAGTCAGAAACGGCAGGTCTGGAGACACAGAGAGGGAGCGGAGCGAGGCAGCCACACATGTCCTCTCGGGAGCTGTTCAGCATGTGGTGGCCAGAAGAAAATGCAAAGGAAATGACCCTAGAGTGGGACAAAGGATTAGGGAAAGTGGCAGAGATGACACTACTCACTCACTGATCTGCAGAGACCCCTGAGCCTCAGAGCAGACCAGAAGCACAGGCCTCTGGCCCCCTGAGGGAACCCTGCAAGTGCTGGGGGTGACCATACAGCCTTCAGGAAGAGCATGTGTGGGACACACGTGTGTCGTGTTCACGGGGAAAAGTCACTGTGCTCGAGCAGTAACTTGGAGATCAGCTAAAGCCAAGAGGCAGAGACAAGAAAGAGATGCAGACATAGACACAGAAAGAGAATAAAGGACAAAGACAGAAGACAGGAAAACAAAGAGAAGCAGAAAACGATGCCAAGAGAAGAGGTGCGGCTCACGAAGAGCAGGACAGATGCCTCGGAAGCACGGTGGATGACGGAAGGGAGGAAGCATCTTAGTGGACGTCACAGTCCCTCGAGTGGTCCGTGCTGGCCAGGCCTCGGGCACACTGCAGCACACACACAGCACACCCACCCTGCAGCGCACCGCACTGCCGTGCACACGCACACTGTACACGGCACGGCGCACCCAGGCTGCAGGAGGGTGGGGGGATCGGGATCCAAGGAAACACATGCACACATCAAGCAAAAGCAGGGGGTCCGGGGAGATGGCAGGACACAGGAGCGGCAGGAGCCATCTGGGCACTCTTCCTGTTGTCTTGGTGTCTGTGTGCACGTCTGTCTTTTCTCTCTTACACACACACAATCACAATTCCCAGGAAAAGGTAAAGCAGGGACGATGACTTGATACCTGTCCCATCCCTGGGCCTTGGCATATGGGGCCCTGCATCTGGAATTCGCTCCACCCCCGCCTCGCCTACTCCCCCCCAACTCTCAGGGCCCTTGATCTGGACAGGCTCAGGACCTGCCTCCCCTGAGGCCTCCTGCCTTTCTGCAACAGCAGGGAGCTTGTGGAGGGCCAGGCCCCAGCCGATCCTCCTCGCCCCGGAACCCCTGGCCCACACCAGGTCACGCCAACCGCGGGGGCTCAGTGGACTTCCAGGAAACAAACGAGCAAGCAGCGAGTGCAGTGGGCGAAGGCTGCGCACCTGTGAAAGCGAAGCTAGGAGCTTGGGGGCCAGAGAGCAGGGGAGAGGGAGGGTAGGAGAGAGGGAGAGAGGAGAGAGCGGGGAGAGGGAGGGAGGGTGGCAGAGAGAAGGCATGGGAGGGAGAGCACTCCAGGTGGGGCAGGAAGAGGAGTGAAGACACACTCACTCACACAGAGGCACTCGCGCCCACCTGCTCTGCACATCAGTGCTGCACACGCAAAGCCAGGGCATCTCCTTAGAGACAGGGGGAAAACAAGTGGACGAAAGGAAGGGACTATGTCTGTCGGTCTGCCTGTCCTCACACACACACACACACACACACACACACACACACACACACACAGAGCCAGGCAGGAGCGGCTGCTCACAAACACTGTTCTGGGAAGAGCTGTGAGAGTGAAATGAAATAAATCCCCAGACCACAGCAGTGACCCCCAAAGCTGGAGCAAGGGGAGGCAGGGGGCCAGGGCAGGGCAGGGCCCAGAGAGCACAGCCCACACCAAAATCCCGCAGGCCTGCACCAGGGAGGAGTGGAGGCCTGCGACAGGAGCCAGCCCTGCCCCCTAGCGGAGGCAGACACGAAGGCCACTCGGGTCTGTTAGGAGGAAAAGACCACTAGGGTGAGGGGTGGAGGAGGGAGGGTGTGCACAGTCCCAGGAGTGCCCCTGCTGGAGGCACTCGCACAAGGCAGACAGCGGGGGCAGAACGACTCAGAGACAGAGGTCAGCAGGCACAGAGGACAAACAGCTGCCACCAGCAGCACATGCCTGGGCCTGGCCACAAGAGCCAATAAGCAAATCAGCCCATGAGAACTTAAGGGGCCTGCAAAGTGTTTGTTTCTCTAAAAATTGGAAGAAAAAAATGAAACTTTAGCTCAAAGAAAAATGTTGTGTTTTTTTTGCAGAATGGGGATGGAACCCAAGGCCTTGCCCACGCTAAGCAGCTGTTCTACCACAGAGCCGCATCCCCGGCCCTAAGAAAATGTTCTAATATATAACATTAATATATTCACCTTTATACCGATGCCGTGTTTTTCTTTTATGGAAGCAGGGCCCATAAAAGCCACGGTAGGGGCTGCGGTTGAGTGCCCAGCCTGGGTGTGGGGGAACAGGCCAAGGTCAGGGCTTGGTGCATGGAGCCCAACACATGAGGATCCAGGACTGAAGAAAAGGGCAGCACAGGTGGTAGTGAGGATTTGGCCTGAGCTGGAAGAAACACACCCCTTGGGGATGGGACCCACAGAGAAACAGACAGCACTGAGTGAGACACAGCAGGAGGGGCAGGAGGCAGAGGCCGACAGACCTCAGGGGGCTCAGGCCCAGGAGATCTGCCCACGGGGGACAGCCCTGGAGACAGGGAGGGCCAGGCTGCTCTCAGACCGACAGAGGTCAGCCCGCGCCGAGCCCAGCCACCTGTTTCATCTCCACGTTTGTTTGTCAGTCTCTGCCGATCTCGTCTTCTCTCAGCAAACCAAAGCTTTTGGAACCCACAAAAGAGAAATAGGAAAAGATGACAGAGATGAGAGAAAATAGTGTGTGTCGTGTGTGTGTGACCAGCACAAGGTCTGGTCAGAATTCGGAAGGGAGAAAACATGGGCAAGGACCTTGTGGGCAGCCAGGGAAGCAGTGCACACATGCCACACACACACACACACACACACACGCTCACGTGCCACATAGGACTAGACCGACAGAGGTCAGCCCGCGCCGAGCCCAGCCACCTGTTTCATCTCCACGTTTGTTTGTCAGTCTCTGCCGATCTCGTCTTCTCTCAGCAAACCAAAGCTTTTGGAACCCACAAAAGAGAAATAGGAAAAGATGACAGAGATGAGAGAAAATAGTGTGTGTCGTGTGTGTGTGACCAGCACAAGGTCTGGTCAGAATTCGGAAGGGAGAAAACATGGGCAAGGACCTTGTGGGCAGCCAGGGAAGCAGTGCACACATGCCACACACACACACACACACACGCTCACGTGCAGCACATAGGACGTGCCACACCGGCAAGGGAATCAGTAATTCCCTAGAGAAAAGGAGGCAGGAGGAGCTGCAGCAAGGCAGATGCCCAGGCAGATTCCTGCCTCACCCATCCACCCTTCATGCACACACACACACACAGAGGCCATGACGGGGCTGGACCAGGGAAATCTTGGTGTTTTTGAGGGGTGGGCACAGCCTTCCCTAGGTGAGCTACACCCCTAGCCCCTTGGTGAGCTTGAACTTTTGATCCTCCTGCCTCAGCCTCCTGAGTGCTGGGATTGCATGTGTGTGCCACCATGCCCAGCCAGGGAAACGTTGGGTCCGGGTTTTTCTGTGTGAATGTGTGGGGGAAGTCAGGGACACGGAGAGACAGACAGGGAGGAAAATCTGAGAGAGAGAGAGAGGAGATGATCTGGAGAGACAGCATCACAGGGAGGCGCCAAAGAGGCAAACTAGCAGCCGTGAGACACACACAGGCAAAAGGTCAGACAGAGGAAGAAATGCGAGGGACTTAGCATGAGGTACAGAAAGAACATTAAATGTCAACACCAGATGCTGGAGAGCTGGGAGGACTGAGGGAGCAGGGAGAAAAGGCCCAGTCTGTGGCAGAGGACAGGTGGCTGGGCCAGTGTGAAACAGCTCCCAGGTGCATTCCCCGCCCACAGTGACAACCAGGGAGAGGAACTTGTCCTCACCAGGTTAGCAAGCCGTGCCTCTGACAAGGCCCCGCAGCTCTGGGCACACATGGGGCATGCACCTGAGCTCCCCTTCCCTGGCTCCCACCACCCCACCCCACGCCCGTCCTCTTGGGTTTTTGCCAGGGCAATATGTACTTCCTGCATTCACGGCCGAAGCAAAACCCACTCCGCCATCCCTCATCAACGCCGGGGTGGGGGGCACAAAGCCGCGAGTCCAGACTCACGCCGCCCAGGAGCGCACAGGCCTGCATCCCCACACACGTGGCAGAGGACAGCTGCACGACCTTGACCTGCGCCCCACCCCCACTCCCACAACACGCACCTCCCAAGGGACCCAGGCTCCGTGCTGACCTGCAAACTGCAGTATTTCACTTGCGAAAACAACACCGCACTGAGAATTGTCCAGCTCTGACATTTGTTTTTAATTAAGCACTGTTGCGGAGGCCAGAGGTGGCCGCCTGCACGGGCTGAGGCTGATGTAAAATAAAGACCTCCCTGCAGACCGTGACCGGTCACTGCATCCTTGAGTGCTGGGGGGATGGTATGGATTTTCCTGAGTGCTCGGGTCCTTCCCAGATCCACCCACCTGCCCGGCATGCCAGGAAACACCACACGTCACACACAGCGCCAAGCTCCACATGGGCCTGGCAGCCCTGCTCAACCCCTGAGGTCTCACGCTTTTTGGGCCTTGAGCTAGGCCTGGTGCTTCTTCCAGACACAAGGCAGATCCAGATGATGTACGCATAGCCACCTCCACCAAGGCTGTCCCCAGTCTGATCGTGTCCCTGCTGCCTGGTCCGAAGACCTCCAGCCACCAGTGGTGTGAACAAAGGCGCCCGACTGCAGCCTGTTCACAGCCTAACCCTCGTGTGCCCACAATGGAGGCGCGGGATAAACCATCCGCCACACTGAAGTCCATTTGTGTTTAATCAGACAATATGCAAAGTATTTACAACCAATTTCTCATCCCTCCTCCCCCAAAGCCTGAGCCATAGAATGTGGGACCCCCAGGCCCTGCCCAGAGCCAGGGGTCCCCCAGGCCTCTGCATAGTCATCTGAAATCTACAAAACACTGTTTAAAAAAGAATAGGACAGTATTAGGACACCTTAGACAAAGGGCCCAGGGCAGATGAAGGGGGATTTGAGGGCACGCAGGAGAAACGAACCCAGATAGGGACGGACAGGAACAGACTAGAGAGACAAACATGAAAGGACGGGAAAGTTGGAACCTAATCGGCAGGCACCACTCAGCCTCCTTCCCCAGTGTCAGGCCCAGGCTGGCTTGAGGGCCCTGGCAACCGGGCTGTTATTGCTGTAACGGGGGCAGTGGTAAAAATGTACACATGTCGGGGACAGGGCTGGGGTGGCTCTTACATGTTAAATATGACACACATGGACACACACACACACACACACACACACACACACAGGCCCCTGGCAAGATGCCACTAATTATCAGCTGCCCATTTTACAGATGGCCACACTGAGGCCCAGGAGGAAGCCATCACATACCGGAAGGCTGAACAGCAGAGCCGGGGCCCCATGGGTTCCTACCACAGGGTCTGGCGGGAGCTGAGCAGTCACAGAGACCACAGCCACACGTGGCGCTGCCACACAGCAGTGTGTACCAGCGGGTACCGTGCCCTCTGATCTTAGTTAGGGCACTCCGCCCTACTCATGATTTGTGGGGGGGCCCATTCGGGAACAGAGCAGAAGCCAGCTATTGAAATGCCCAGGACAAACTGGGGAACGGAGGACCTGAGGTTCCCTCCTGGGGCCAGGAGCAGGGCCTCCCAGCCTCGATACTGTTTGACTGCTTGACTGCCGCCAGAGCCTGGGAGCTTACTCCCTGTTGTGGCCGACTGGCTCCTACGCCCTAACTGAAACCTGCTTTCTGCACCTTTACTTCCACCCCTTGCTCCTAGCTCAGCCTCACACCAGCCCCCAACAGGCTGGCTGAGCCAAGCACACAGGGACAGAGGGACCCTGTTATCTCCGACCTGTCCTCTGGGCTGCCCCAGTCTGAGATGCCTCTGAAGACAATTCTTGTTGGTTCCTGAGGAAAACAAGACAGAGCACCAGGTACCCAAGCCCACCACCTACACCCTGACCTGCTCTGCAGCCCTGGGCAAGTCACATCCCCTCTCTGGACTCAAGTTTTCCTGTGGGGAAAAAATGGAAGAAAGGAATTGATGATCTCCAAGGGTCCCTGGGGTGGAAGAGCGACAGAGTTGGAGGTGGTTCTCATCCCATCCACCATGATGAGCCATGCTGGGCTGGGGGCCGCCCAACCAGGACCCTGCAGCCCCGACCCACAGATGTGTGCAAAAGGGTGGCAGGGCAGGGGCTGCAGCTGAGGCCCAGGGTCCGTCAATCCTCTTTGGAAAGGCTCTTTGGCCAGCTCGAGAGACAGACCTAGGGCATCCAAGGGTGGAAGGGCCAGGCACAGGCAGCAAGCCCCCTTCCCAAATCCTCCTCTGTGACAGCAGATCTCTGGAGGGACAGAGAACAGGTGTGTGGCCACAGCAGCACTGGGACAATCACTGTGCTGGCCATGGGCCCTCAGACCGGAAGCCCTTCCATGTGCCCAAAGACAGAAGGGCCCCATCCCTGGCAATTCAGCCCCAGGGAGGGAGGGTCGACAGTGGCAGGCAGAGGGTGCAGACCCCACAGGTGACCCAGCCAGCAGGGCATCCTGCCCTATAGGTTCTCCCCGGGCTGGTACTGGGGCTCGGTGGACGTGAAGTAGTCCTCCAGGAAGGCCTGCAGGTACTCGAAGGTGGGCCGCTCCTCCGGCTCCTTCCGCCAGCACTGGCACATGAGGTCATGCAGGGACTCAGGGCACTCAGGTGGGCAGGGCATGCGGTAGCCCCGCTCCACCTGGTCCAGCACCTCGCGATTCACCATCCCTGCAGGCACAGGTGAGTATGAGAGGTCTGGCTCCAGAAAGGAGTGGGCAGGGACAAGAGGGCTTCCCATCTAAGACAGGCAGGGCCGAGGGTACGCGTTGTCCCTAAGACCAGGACCCTTCTGTTATACACGTGGGGAAATCGAGGGAAGGGTGAGTACTGCCCAAGACCACCAAGCTGAGTGCTCAAGGAGCAGCGATGGGCCGCGTGGCCCCTTCTTACCAGGGTAGGGCACTCGGCCCTTTGTTGTGAGCTCGGTCAGCAGGATGCCAAAGGACCATACATCCGACTTGATGGTGAAGCGGCCGTAGAGGGCGGCTTCTGGGGCCGTCCACTTGATGGGGAACTTGGCACCTGCAGACAAGGTCAGGAGGCTCAGCAGCGCATCGCCCCGGCTCTGCCACACATGAGGAACTGAGGCGTAGAGCACAGCGCCGAGGGCCGGGTGGCCAGCACTCCCTGCTCACCTTGCCGGGCTGTGTACTCATTGTCTTCAATGAGCCGGGCCAGCCCGAAGTCGGCCACTTTGCACACCAGGTTCTCCCCGACCAGGATGTTGGCGGCACGCAGGTCCCGGTGGACGTAGTTCATCCGCTCCACGTACGCCATGCCCGAGGCAATCTGCAGGCAGCACCCAGGCGCCTGGCTCAGGAGATGCGCTCACCTCCCTAGGTCACGGGCTCGCAGGCCTCCCTGGGGGAGCTGAGCCAACTGTACTCCCTGCCTTCCACACTTCTTCAGGCACAAGAAGTTGGCTCGCAGTGAACTCCACTCGCTCACCAAGCAGGACCAGCACCCAGCAGGAAGGGCACGTGAGGGTAATAGAAATGGTCATGATAAGAGGTACCCAGGGAAGTGGAGGGGCCATGACAAAGAGGCCCCAGCTGACCCACACAGATGCATGACAGGTCCAGCCAGCTGTCCCAAGTCCTCCATCTCAGCCTGTTCTCACATCTATCCAATCTCTACCTCTCTTGATTCTGATCAAAATTAAATGAAAAAATAAAAAATAAAAAGATGTCAAGTTCTGCGTACACACGTATTGAGTGACTTAATGACCTTTACGGAGAAGGAAACCGAGGCCAGATCCCACAGCAAGACAGTGGACCCACTGTGGACAGAGGACCCAGTTAAGATCCTCTGTCCACAACCCCACTCTAGGCACTACTTATAAGTGGCTCCAGTAACCCGGGGAGCAAGATGAGTGTGGGGAAATCAAGGCACGCCACCTGGAGGGGGAGGTTCAAGAGACCAGAACTGGCTGAGCCAGGGGGATCTGGGTGTTCTGGAGGCAAAGGCTGGGGAAGCAGGAGGGACTGACTCACCTGAGCGGCCATGTCCACCAGCTGAGGCAGCCGCAGGTACTTGCCCGTTTCCCCCTTGAGAAAGTCCAGCAAACTCCCTGGGCAAAAGACAGAGCCAGCTCCAGCCCTGCCCTGTCCTTCCCCTGGCAAGATGCAGCGACTCCTGGCTCCTGAAGCCCACCCTACCCTGGCCTCGCCCTCGCCAGCACAGGAGAATCCGTGCAAACCTGTCCCCAGCCTCATTGAGCAGTCACCACTCACAAGCAAACAGGACAGGGAGCAACCCCACCACCCGCCCAAGGATGAGAAGGACCAGGTGTGTGATCACAATGGGGCCCTACTCGGTGCACGGTGGTGCACGCCTGTAATCACAGCACTCTGGGAGGTGCAAAAGTAAACACAAGTCCACCACAACAGAAAGCAGATCAGGGCTTGTCTGGGTTTGGGGCACAGGGTTCTATCTGCCAAGGGGAACGGGGAACTTTCTGGGTGAGGGAGACAGTGCGTGTTCTGATTGTAAGGGACACACAGAGAATCCATTGGTTAAAAATCATTCAACTAGACATTTAAAATGGGTGTATTTTATCATGTTTTTAAAAATTGAATTTTGAATAATTAATTTTTGAAAATTAAGTCAATAGCTGGGTGTGGTGGCACATGCCTGTAATCCCAGCACTCAGGAGGCTGAGGCAGGAGAATTGCCATAAGTTCAAGGCCAGCCTGGGCTACATAATGAGTTCAAGGCCAGCCTGCACTACACAAATTAAATCACAGTTAAGTCCCTGGCTCAAGTTCTCTTTTAGCCTGAGAACAGTAAACAGCTTTAGAAAACCAGCAAATAATGTGTGGTGAGAAACCACTGATAACAAAGCGAGACGGGAAAGACAATCTCCGCCTGAGTTCCCTCCAAGTTGTGGGTTTGATCCTGTGCCATGCCGCCTGTAAAAAGGCACTGGGAGACGGGCACAGTGGCACATGCCTGTAATCCCTGCCCTCTGGGAGACTGAGGCTGGAAGATCACAAGTTCAAGCTCAGCCTGGGCAATTTCATGCCTCAGGAAGACCCTGTTTCAAAATAAAAAAGGTCTGAGGATATAGGTCAGTGTGAAGGCCCTGGGTTCAATCTCCAATACTGAAAAAGAAAAACAGAAACACTTTGAGGAGGTGGGAAGGCCTCCGCAGGCACCCCAGGCGCGTCAGGTCCTCCTGGCCGGCCACCCGGCTCTCACCCTTGCTCATGTACTCTGTGACGATGTAGATGGGCTCCTCGGACACCACGGCGTACAGCTGCACCAGCTTCTCGTGCCTCAGTTTCTTCATGACCTGGGCCTCCTGCAGAAAGGCCTCCGGAGACATGGTGCCTGGCTTCAGGGTCTTGATGGCCACCCTGGTGGTGCCATTCCAGGTTCCTACGGGGTAAGGATGAAGGCAGACTCAGTGGAGGCCCCACTCTGGCCATCCAGGCATGGGACCTGCCTGCCTGGGGGCCAGGCTCAGCTCTGGGCTCCCTCTCCAAGTGACAAGAGCAGCCAACGTAGGGTCTCCTTCTGAACCTCAGTGTCTCCATCTATAAAATGGGCACGAGGACAAGGCAGTGCCTCCCTGGGTTGTTACAGGCTGAAACAAGCCTCTGATGCTGCTCACGAAATAGGAACTGGGTCAGGACTCAGATTATGAGGAATATCCCTCAAAAGCAACACAGCAGCAGGACAGATGGAGACCACAGTTCCAACTCAATAGCATCTCCTGGTGCCCCTTCTTGCCACCCATGGCATGGAAGGCACCCCACTATCAGCAAACAGATATGTCCTGGTGGGGTTCAGTGGGGAAGCAGAGCTGGGTCAGGGGCTGCTATGGCCACCAGAACAAGAGGTGGCCTCAGAGCCTGTGCACTCTGAAAAGCAAACTTCTACACAAGGCAGACCAAGGCAGGAGGCAGCTCAGTTGCAGCCTGGCTCCCCGGCAGGCAGCCCTAACCCTAAGGGTGAGGTGGGTCCCCTTCCTCAGCCTGTTTCCCCTGTTGGAAGAGGGGACCCTCTGTGCCAATTGTGGGGTTCTCTGAGGACTCAAGGAGACTTCAGCCACGGTGCCAGGCCCCCCAAGGCTCAGTGAACAAGTGCAGCTTCACCCCTTGTGTGAGGACCTGGGATTGCATCACAAAGTAAGCAGTAAGTGACCACACTTGAGAGCCACCCCTGGGGAACTTCACATTTAAAAGTGGGCCCCTGTCTTTCAGTAGAAGCAACCAAAAGGAAAGGAAACCCAGGACCCTTGAGCCACCCAGGTTGGACTCCTGCCTGTTCTCAGGTGGCCACATCAAATCCCCTCCCCAGCCTAAAGCTCCAGGGGGTGGTGCTCCTTACCCATCCACACCTCTCCGAAGCAGCCCTGGCCCAGCTTGACCTCCAGCCGCAGAGACTCCCGAGGGATCTCCCAGGCATCCTTGGCCAGGCCCTGGGTCTGCGGCTTGGATGTGGGACACACGGTGGTGAGGCGGTGGCACAGGCCATCGGCGTGTTCTGGAGATGAGGTGGGAGCAGAGCTCAGTGGGGCACATGGGTGAGCTCACAGGATGCCCTCCAAGGAGGGAAACCATACCAATGTCTGCACCCACCCCGCCTGGGCCCCAGCCTTGTGCACAGCTCACAGAGTCTGCCTTTCCTCCTTCACTCGTGGGGCTTAAAGAGTGCCAGGGACCCTGAGGGTGGCAAGGATGTAGACCTGCCCTCAGGGAGCTCCCAGCCCAGGAGGAGCAGACTTCTCCTAGCCACCCCCCAGGACCACATACATGACCAGGGAGAGCTGTGCATGCATGAGAGTGAGGGGTGGGCTGCACAGAGGAGCTGGCGGTTCTGGGGTCTCTATCCTAAGATGCCAAGACAGACCCTGGAGGCTGGATCCGGGGGACAGGACCAAGCATTCTCCCCAGAGTGGTGGCCAATCCTAGAGGAGGCGGAGTGGTCCAGGTGAGAGGAGGAGATGTCAGATAAGAGGTGGGCCGCACTTGCACAGGCCATACAGGCACACACAGGCCCTGGCTATCCAGATGGGTGGCCCCAGTGCAGCACCAGCACCTTGGTTCAGGTGTTCCCTCTGCCTCCCTCTCCTCTAACTTGGCGTAATCAATGTGGCTGCCCCTCCCGCTCTTCTAGTAACCGGTTCAGACCGGTCCTGAGACAATCAACACCAGCCCACGACGCCTCCCTTCCAGCTTGCTCAAGGCAGCCCCCTCCTCACCAGCCAGCTGCAGCAGAGAAGGGACGTCAAGGAAGGGAAGGCAGGGGTCAGGGAAGACAAGTAGGAAAGATGAGGTGGAGGGAGAGGGGTGGGAGGCAGTGGTGCCACAGAGGAGGGAAGGAGAGGGGGCAGAAGACACATGCTTCCTCGGGAGAATTTAAGCCCCTGCCCTGTGGTGCCAGGGTCTGCCGCTGAGGCCGGGGCCCCCACCAGGCCGTGAACTCACTGGAGTAATAGACGACGAGCTGCTGCAGGCTGTTGAACTGGGTGCGTGAGGTGATGTAGAAGCCGCCGCTGTCCAGCTTACGGATCTTGTAGTGCTTCACATTGAGGCCCTTGGCATTGTCGAAGTCGGACACAGAGAGGCAGTAGGCACCTGGAGGCACAGCCAGGGAAAGGGACTGTGACCACTGCACTGTAGCTCCACAGACCACAGCCCTGAGCACTGCCTAGGCACAGTGTCCTGCCTGCCAACACCACAGGGAAGCCCTATCTCTCTCCCTCTGCCTCAGGGACAGCCACAAAGACACAGCCCGGTGAGTAACAGTCCTGGCAAGACCTCCAAATCCTCAATGTGCAGCCCAACTGTGTGACCCCGACAAGTTGCCCACTCTGGGCCTCAGTTTCTTCCGCTGCATAATAGGGGTGCTCTTAGGGCTGCTGGGAAGATTCAGTGCCATTACATAGGAGAGGGCCTGGCACACCAGGTGAATGTTAGCCGAGAACGGCCCAGTGAGGCGGGATCCCTGGCCTGGCTGCTGCCCTCTCTGCGTCTGCCCAAGATCTGTCTATGCCAGCCCCTTCCTGCCTTCTGAACACCCCAGACTTTGGCGGCAGCAGGATGACAGCTGAGACTATGGCAGTCCTGGACAGAGGCCTGCAGGCTGCGGAGGCCAAGTCTCCACCAGCCAAGAAAAGCTCTCACTGAGAGAGACTCATCCTTCCAGGCAGGACTGGCCAGGAGCCTCTGTTAACTGTAGCCCAGGGACACCTGGGTCCTAGCAGGGAACCAGGCTGAGCCATGACAGGTCACAGACTCCAAGGCCAGAGAAGGCACTGTTCAGGAACCTCCAGGCAGAGTGCGGCCATGGGATGTCCATGGGTCCTCCCTCTGGACGGTCCTCAGGACCACACCATCCCAGTGTGGAGAAGGGAAAGATGAGGAAAAGCAATGGGGCTCGGATCACCCAGCGACTCAGCCACAGAGCTGGGGCTTGAATCCATACTGAGTGTCTAGAGGCTGCACTGGGCAGCCCTGGCACGCTGCAGATGGCCCAGGCTGTGTGCCCCAGAAGCCGCAGGCCTGAGGCTGACACTAGCCCTGAGCACGCATGCACAGGCACGCCGTGCCCGGTGGCTGAGTGCTCACAGCTATCTACACTCCCCAGACCTCTGGGCACCAGAACAAAGCCACCACTGTTCCTGCCACACAGGGACCCATGGCCAGTCCCACCCCCGTGCGCACATGTGCCCGGCTTTCACACAGCACACAAGTGTGGCTGCGCAGCTGCTCATAATGTACATCCAGGACATGGACGCTCTGCTTTCTCATCTCCCGCTGAGCCCCAGGCCCACAGGAAACAGCCCAGCTTGGTTGCCATAGCAACTGGTGGCTGCGCCAAAGCACTTTCCAAGAGGCTGGGGAGAAGGGCGATGATCTTCGCTCTTGCTGGGGGAGGGGCAGAGAGGAGAGAGGCAGGACTATGGGGGGAAAGGCGAATCTAGGTCCCCAGAGGCCTCTGGGGAAAAGAAACGAGGGGACCATGGTACCAGCACCCACCCTGGGAAGCAGGCTTTTGCTGGGTGGCACTCAGACCTGGTGACAACCAGTGCCCCCTCCCATCCTGAGCAACTAAGTCCAAAGAAGCAAAGCTTCACCTTTCACTGTACCTCTGGCCCCCCAGATTACTCTGTGTCCCTCAGATATACCTCCCTGACTTTACTGTGCCGTTTCCTCCCCTAAGGGGCTCTGTATTCCAAACCACTATTCAACCTGCGACACCAGCTCACACAACTGACAAAAGAACCACCTCCAGTGGCCAGCACAAGAGCTCCTACCTTTCGTGGTCTCACTTTCTCGCACCAGGAAGGTCCCTCTCGGGTTCTCCGTGTTGAGCAGCAACCGCTCGGACTCCCGCCTGGTGATCTTGCCGAAGTACCACCTGGGTGGGAAGGATGAACACGGTGTCAGTGGCCCAGGCTCCCTCCTGCCAAAAGCACCTCTCCCCAGGATGGGCCCTGGGCAGGACAGGCTGCAGCCCGGGAATACTCACTCCTCAGCCTGGATGGAGTCGGAGGGTGCCACATAGTTGCTGGGGATGTAGCCCGTCTGTCCTGTGCTGAGCGAGTGTGCCAGCCACCAGTCTCCCTCTCTGAGGAGGAGAAGGGGTAAAAGAGAAAGGGCCATCATCAGTGAGTCCAAGGTGCTGCTCTCTTCCCAGGTGCTGTGCCTGCACGGCAGCCAATGGGGCACAAGGAGGCCATGGCTCTTGGCCTAGAATTCGTCCCTTCCTGGTGCAGATGCCTCTGGCAAAGCTGGCTGAGATGAGCTAGGTGCATGGCAAGGGCTGAGCTTCGTCAGCCTGAGGCCCAGCTCTGCAGAGGCATAGTCCTGGGATGGGAAGTTAGCTTTCTTTCAGGTGTACCAAAGCCCCTTGAGATGTTAAGGGCTGCCTTGGGAGAGAGCTCCCCGTATCTGGGGACAAGCAATGCTGTACCTGAGAGAAGATCCCTGGCAGAGACAGATGTCAAACTAGACTGTCAAAGTCCACCCAGCCCCGAGACTCAGAAGCCCAGATCTGAGGGTTGGTGAGACCTTGGGAAAGAGAAGGGGTAGCCCTTTTGAAGCCCAGTGATAATCCAGGCACCAGCCCAGAAACTACAGCAACGCTCACCCCTGTCACAAATCACAGGTCACCCCTAAATGTTCTTAGCCGGAAACTATAGACCTCCTCCTGCAGCCTACCCATGTGCAAGGGGAAACTGAGACCAGAGGGGGCTAGGACTTGCCCAAAGTCACACTGAGTAATGGGGAGGGGACAAGGTGGCAGAGTCCCAAGCCCAGGGCACTTCTGTGCTAACTGCCCCATGAGGAGGAGGTGATGGGACAGTGGCAGCAGGGATGCCCAGCCGGGTTGGGTCCCTGGGCCTGGGCACAGGGGAGGGGCGGAAGTACCTTTGCAGCCATCTGAATGTGAACCAGGTCTGGCTGGAGCGGGGGTCCAGAAACAGAGGAGGGAGGAGCAAGCGAGAGCCCGACAGGAGAGAAGAGGCAGAGATGGGGGTGGTGAGAGGCAGTGCGGCAGAAGGAGCGGGGAGAGAGCGGGAGAGCCAGGCGGTGCTGGGGAAGGGAACGAGGGGACAGCCACGGAGGCCTCACATCCAAAGCAACCAAAGGGCACAGGAAAGGGTCCACGGGGAGTGAGGGAGTGACACCGGGCAGGGCAGCCTGGGGACTAGGGTCCGCCACTCCCACGTCCCCCATACAGGTGGGAAGCCTGAGGCCAGAGAAGTAAAGGCCTCCACTCAAGATCACAGTCAGGTGCGCCCTGAGTCCCAGGCAAGCAGCTCCCTGAATGGCGCAGGGGGCTGCCGGCTTGCTGCGCTGTCTCCAAGAGGCCCCTGAGAGGATTCACTGCGGCTCTGATCCAAGCCCAGAGACAGACGCCCTTGCCTTCAGCCACAGCCTGAACTTGTAAGGGGCCAGATCCCTAGCTCCTGGCTCTTCTGAACTCCTTCTAGACATATTCTGCGTCCCATTTTAAAGATGGAGAAGTTGAGGCCAAGGGAGAACAGGGTTTAGGGAGCTCTCCAAGAACCCACCAGAGCACAGTGAGCCCCCAGGCAGTGTTCAGTGGGATGGTCCAAGGCTGGGGGTTCCGGATGGAGCCCCAAGGGGGTGCAACTGTGGCTGTGTGACCTGATAACTTCACACACTCAGGCAGGAGCAAGCTCCCGCCAGGGGCTCAGAGAGAGGCCCTGCCATGCCCAAACCTCCTTCCCACCCCCTCTGTGCACCCAGCGGGGGCATCCACAGTTTTTCTGTCCCCTTTGACCCCGAAGCCCACCTTGCAAGGGGGAAAGCAGGGCCCCAGCCCCCGGCTGAGGAAACTATGGCTCAGAGATGTTGAAGGAGCAGCCACAAACGAGCACTTCCTTTGTAGAGCTGGGGAAACTGAGGCACAGAGAGAGGCAACACCTTGCCCAAAGCTTCAAAGCAAAGACTAAAGTTACAAGGAACAGCTCTCTGAGAGCTTCCAGTCCAAAGACTTTGTTGCCAATGCAGAAAATGAGGAGAGAGATGGTAACGATTTGCCCAAAGCTGCATGGCAAACCAGTGGCAGGGAAAAGGTGAAAAGTGGGGCCCCTGAGTGCACAGAGCAGACACGGCAGCCACCCCCAGGCCTCACGAAGGCTGCACCCTCGGAAGAGCCAGTGGAAGACAGAGGGGGCACTGGGGTGGGGGCAGGGGACGGGCCATTCCGGGATGTGCCAATGTCTGAGGTCACAGGCTACAGAACGAGGCGGATGGACCAAGGCAGTCTGCAAGCACCCAGCCACCCAGGCAAGCGGAGCTGGCAGGAAGCGCGTGCCCAGCCGGGCAGGGCCGAAGAAGCCATGGCTCAGCTGACAGCACTCGGCTCCCTGACACCAACGCACGGGGAGTTTGGGGCTCACCGCCTAGTGCTGGGGGTGCTGTCACAAGGGACGGGACGCCAGTTTTACTGCACAATCCCAGTCTGGGTTGGGAGCCAGGCTGCCTAAGCTGCCCCAGCTCCCCTGCTGCCTGTGTGACCTCAGCCCGGCACACTATGCCCTAGACTGTTTCCTGAGTGTGCCTCCCTCCAAAGGGCTGAAATGCCAATGGTCCCCAGCAAAGAGGAAGTACTAATAGGCGTGAGCTGTCAGTATCGTGACCTGACTAAAAAAATAAAAATAAAACCACTAGATCTGCGTGTGCCTCCCTACTCTCCAAATCCTCTTTTAAATCCAAAGCAGCACAGTTCCAGCCCCAAGAAGGTTTCGCTGTGTGACCTTACGGAAGTAACACACCCTCTCTGAGTCTTAGTTCCCTCACCTGTAAGAAGAGACAATACTCACAGAATCTCCCTTGCAGGCGAGTGTGTGAACACTTGTTATGGAGCCTTGCTGCCACTGTTACTATTACCCTACCATAAAATCAAGGCCTGGGAGGTTTGCGCCTGCCTCAGGTGCCCATAAGCTGGCTCTGCCAAGGGCGAGCCCTGTCCTCACACTGTCTCGGATGGTTCCAGTCAGGGAGGAACCAGGGAAGAAGGGACCACACCTTCCCTACCGTACCCCTCACCTGCCTTCCTACTCGCTAGCTGTGTGACCTCGATTCTCAGAGCCTCGGGTCCTCTTTGGACCCTAATCCTTGTACCTGGTCCTTGTGGACCAGGGGTGTGGTAGCTCCGGAGGCTGTTGGGACCGCTCGGAGACACTCTCTGGGAAGTGCACACCCGGTCCCCAGGCTGTGGCCACTGGGGCCCAGGCAGGATCCAGGCAGTCAGGTTTCCAAGCCCTGGGCCTGGCACGGGGTCAGTGGGTGAGGGTGAGGGTGAGGCCAGGTAGCCCAGAGAAGGGGGAACAAGGGCGGGGTACCCGACAGCGCTGGCATCCTGAGGTGCCCGGGCCAGAGTGACGAGGGAAGGAGAAGCCTGCTGGAAAGCGGCCCAAAGATGCTGCTGAGGGATGGGCTGTCAGACAGATCCTAGACCCCAGTGGGCTTCCTCGGACACCGGACCACACAGCACCCAGGATACTAGTGCCCGGGGACATCTGGCAGCAAGGTCCAGGCAGCAGACTCCAGGCTGTGAGCACTGCAGCCAGGCTCACCTTCCAGCACTCCGCCGGCTGCGCCCACAAAGAGCCCTGGAAAGCCTTTCATTCATGGGGGGCGGGGGGACTAAGCAACAAAGGACCCTAAGCAACACTGTACGGACAGCACGGGGTCCCGGGGGAAGGTACAGTCCAAACAGATCACGCCTGAATGGCCACCTTCCCTGAGCACCACCCCAATCCCTTGGCCTTCCCTTTTCCTCTAGCACCAGCCCCCAGCTCTGCCCCATCCAACTGGAGGCTGAGGGGTGGGTGAGCACTGACAGAGGACTCAGGCCCCCACCGCACACCCCACCAGGGACCTCAGCCTAGCCAAGCATCCCCCAGATTCTGGGCTGCAGGAGGAAACAAGGGAAGAGCCTGGACTAAAGGGAGGAAGCTGCCCTCTGACCCCAGTGCCAGGCAGAATCAAAGTCTCCAAGCCCTTCCTGCCCTACAGCTTCATTCCAGCTGTGACCTCAGCCCCAGGTCCCCGGCAGAGCCTCCTAGCACTTCCTGTCATCATCCCATGCACCCTCCCTGCCCAGCCTCTCCTCGGGGTCCTGCACAGAACACAGGCTGGCGCACTGGCCATCCCCGCTAGCACCTCCTCTAGAAGCTGTACGACCTTGGGCAGGTCATTTCACCTCCCAGGCCTCCATTTCTTCATCTGTGACATGCAGAAAGTAAGAGTTCCCATTTCTCAGGGCTCTGGAGGCACATAAAGAACACAATGCACCTGAAGGTGCTCAGCGCAGGGGCACAGCACATGTGACCATTTCGTTCCATTCTGATCCTTCAGCCCGTTCACCAACACAGGTGGGCACCCTGTAAGCCAGGCAGCAGGTGACATGGTTACCCCGGAATGAGGTGGATGAGAGAGCAGTCTTTAGGAGCTCCCAGTTTGGGGGGAAGCAAATGTCAGCCGGACAAAAAGAGAATGGAGCCCCAGCCGGGCTCTGACACAGCGGGGCAGGAGGGCGAACCAAGGAAGTCCTCCCACCCCAGAGAGCAGCTTGGGGAAGGGAGAGAGCCACTGCCCAAGTTCTAGTCCTGGCCTTGTTACCTGGCAGCCATGTGACCTTGGAGAAAGACCCTGCACAACTCTGAGCCTCAGTTTCCTCATTTGCAAAACAGAGGCAGCCCCCATCACTACTAGTCTGGAGAAATTACAGAAAGACGCAAACAGGAGGAAAATATGGGTGAAGGTGACTGGCACAGAACCTGGCACCTCTGCTCCCTTTTGACTCAAGAGAAGACAGTCCTGCACTGGATCCTGAGAGACAAACAGGAGTTCGACAGGCAGACAAGAAAAAGGGTGTTCCAGGCAGAGGGAACGTCATGCACAGGGAAAGAGGCAGGAACAGGCAAGGCACGCTCAGTGAGGGAGAAATGTCTGGCCTCCTTGGTCAGGCCTTTGAGGACTCGGGGACCTGCTCTCCACCCCCAGAGACACCTGGCCTTCTACACCCCTGGAGGCTCGGCCCCTTCTGCACCTCCCGCCCTCTGCCTGCACACAACTTCACTGCCCTTCCCCGGAGGCCCCACCTGCGGCTCCCAGTTCTTGTGGTCACCCCCTGAGAGCACACACAGTAAGGCCCTCTGCCTCCCCAGGGCTGGAGTGGGCAGCTAGGGCAGGCTCAGGAGGGCACTCACAGGGCCCTGCATGCAGCTGGAGCTCAGTGTGGGCGGACAGATCAAGGAGGAGGTGTGTAAGGTGAGCAGTGAGGGACCTGGTGAAACCCGGGGTGCGGGATGAACTTGAGAAGCCTGGGGCGGTGGTGACAGCCAGGGAGCAGAGCGCAGCAGGACCCCGGGGTGGGGGGGACGCACATGCAGACAGCAGCCCAAGCCCCAGCGTAGCTGCCACCCGGCCCACCACCCACGTAGCGCGTACACACCTGACATCCACCTTCCTCCTGAGGGCCAGCGAGAGAGAAGCAGAGAAGGAGGAGCTGAGAGAGGGCTGGAGGCGCAAGCCAGGGCGCAGGAGCTGGGGCAGTGCAGGGAGGGCGCCGCACCGCCCTCTACTGGCAGCTCCGCACGGCAGGCGGGACCCCGGCCGCACGCTGCGAAGTCCCCCACGGGGTCCCCTGAGGCAACACGGAAGGGGCACTCACGTGTTGTTGACAATCTGGAGCCTCTCCCCTTTCTTGAAGGAAAGATCGGTCTCTGTCCGGGACTCATAGTCATAGAGGGCCACAAAGGTGGTCACTCCACCTGTGGGGAGGGGGTGGTGTCAGAAGGGCGGCACCCAGGGGATAGGGTCATTCTCTGCCCCCGCCCAGTGCGCCACAGGGACAGGCACGTTCACAGAGGAGGGGCCGTGTGCGCCCGAGTGCCCCTGCTGGTGTCCGTCTCGCTCGCATATGCCTAAGGACCACCATCTCTTCTGTCCCCAGAGCAGGACACAGTTCGTGCTCAGAAGAGCCGGCCGAAGGGCTGAGGAAGGCGGGACCCCAGTCCAAGAGGGTCACCTGCTTCTGGGTGTGTGAACTTGGTGTCTGGGGAGAGCCTGGCTGCAGGTTATGGTCGCCCTGTCCCCCTTGCTAAATGACACCCTTGTCTGCACCCACGTGCTCGTCCTCCTTCACTGGGGTTCCCTTCTCCAAATGCCCTGCAGTCTGCACGCCGAGGTCCCTGCGCCTCGGGGGGTCTGTACCCGTGTGCGTGTTGTCTGAGCGGACCCGTGCACAACCGCCCTGCGTGTGTCTGACTTGGCACGCGCGTCCGTGGCCCGCGGCGGGCGAGCTCTGCAGACAAAAGTGGCCCCGCGC